ATGGCACCGCCTTCAAAGTGCAAGAAAGAGGATGTTCCCAAGGCTCTTGTGCTGGACCGATTCTTTGGAATTTAACATTCAACCCTGTACTGAATGCAAACTGGCTTTGACAAACAAGTGTCGCCTACGCAGACGACGCAGCTCTTCTTGTCAAAGGTCGCACTCGTGCGGAGCTCGAGAAAAACGGCACCGAAGTCTGCTCACTCCTCATCAATATCTGCAGCAACTTAAAGCTTACAATTTCTACAGCAAAGTCCTCAGCAATAATAATACCCAGAGCACGCCTGAGTCCAATGTGCTGCCTCTGCATCAAACTACAAGGAGCAAACATGAAGATTGTCCAAAGACTAAAATACCTAGGTATAATCTGGGATAAAAAACTAACCTGGATCTTTCACATCCAAAAACTAAAGAACAAAGCATCAGCAATATCCAGAAAGGCACGCGGCTTCCAAGGTAGAAACTGGGACCAGAACCATCATATTTAGAATACAGTATATACATCTCTACCATATGGTAGCTGAGAAAATAGTCTTGTACGCTGCTGCCGTATGGGCCCAAGCTATGGGAGGATGAAAGATCAAACATCTTGCATCTCTTCAACGACCATTCGCCCTGAATCTTTGTAAAGCGTACCTCACAACAGTCGCAAGCTCAGCGACAGTCGTTGCAGGGCTCTTTGCACTCCACATATGGGCAGAACAAGAGGCAGTCTACACCACCCTCGTATACCTCCGCAGAGATGCAACATTTGGAAACGTAACATACAATCCTCTGCTGTTTCAAAACCCAGGTAACCCTCTTCACACTCATCCTGCACGTATAGGCACAGGAATAAGCATTAACATCTCACCAACATAAAGGAAGAATCATCCATGTATGGAAAGGATGCTTTGACTTAAACAAATGTGTGTTCCAGGCAGAGGTGTAGGCAGTTACAACGGCGGTACAATATATCTTCAACAATAATATAGAACAGGCAAAAGTTTTCACAGACAGTATGTCAACACTTCTAGCACTGGAAAATCACAGCCACACCTTGCCCCTCATCATCATATTACAACAACTTTTACAGTGCAACCCGCAGAAACATTCTTCACATGTATCAAGGTACATGCAGAAAATGAGGGGAATTAAGCTGTTGATAGCTTGGCCAAGCAAGCGACCACTGATCCAGAAGATGAACAAATCACAATCCCAGCCCCTCCTTCCTACCTTAAAGGGCTATTCCGGTCTCAAGGCCTAAACCTTTGGCAGGAAAACTGGACGCACTGCACAACTGGAAGACGTACATACAGCTACCTCCCAAAAGTCAGCACCGAACACAACATTGCAACACCCCCTCTCAGGGCTTATATTACAGGACACGGCCCATTCTCGACCTACTTCAATAGACATAGCATAACAACCATGGACCTATGCGTCTGGGCAGCACAAGGCTCCCCAGACCACTATGTTTTTTAATGCCGTCTGACAGCAGGAAATCACCTCCCTCTTCCCATCAACAATACAGAAGCTTATCGTCGTTTCCTGAAGCACAAACCGGCAGTAAATACAATCTGCAAAGTTGTCAACACACTCAAGGGAATGGGCGGAGATTTATGCTCTCCTCATTAGCCAAAATACGCAAGATTTGATACACTATGTTGGCACGTAGTTCCACATCCGCAGACACATAAGTCTACTCATAAAATTTACACAAGTCTCTATTGCAGACAATTATCAAACAATGTACAGGCAAATGTTTCCGGCATGTATTTAACATTTCCTCTTCTGTATATGCATAATACTTAATGTTTTTTACCTATGAGCCTGTATTTTAATTCTATTATTTTGTAGCTGTATTTTTATCTTTGCATTTTTAATTTGAATTTTATTATGAATATGCATTCCAGTACAAAGTCTTTAATTTGGACGGCCATAATCCGGAATGATCTATAATCTAGACCTCAAAGCTACAAACTTTCTGCGCATGCGCATAATACCTTTACACATGCACGTAATATGTTTACGCATGCACGTTTAATGTATAACAGACGGTATAAGCTAGGCTAAAATTATCTAATTATCTATTTCAGTTAATGTTGCACATTGCGTTGTTTCTTAATTTTCTAATTGGATCTGACTTATTATTTTTTGCAGACTGTTAAAGCAATTTTATAAAAAGTAAGCTTGAACTTTCGATTATGTCAAAAAGAGTTTCCGATTCTGGAGCTGCCAAAAGATCTACAAAGCGAAAGCATGTTTCGACGTACCACTTCTGATAGGGAAGAAAGTGACAGAGAGGTTATTGAAAACGAAAAAATTTCGATTGACAAGTTAGTTGGTATTCTCGACACAGCAATTACAGAACTTGAACGGTGGAACTGAACAAGAAATTATGTCTGTTTATAGAATTAAAGAGAAAGTATTAGCACATAAAAAATAAAGCAGCTTAAACAACTTACATTGAAAGAAATGTTTGATAAAGTAAACAAATAAATATTAAGCTTTTTTTTTTTTTTTGTAAATTTTGATACCCTTTAGATCATAATTGCTCTTTATTTCATAAATTATGGTTTCATATTTTTAATTTTATAATTTCTGCATGCCATCTTACCAGATTTAAATTGATGATCTATAATCTGGAAAAACCCCTAATCCGGAATCGCCGAAGTCCGAGCGAGTCTGGATTAAAGACTTTGTACTGTATTACCATAGTAAATAGCAACAACAAATATCAAAACAGTAAAACAAATGTAATCTGCCCTTGTATGGCCATGTAATGCTCTTGTTAGCATCCTAAAAAGCTCGCGAGGTGGCCTCTTGAGGCCTCAGGGAGTTGTTTCTGGTTAGTGGAGGGAGCGTGACACATGTTTGTTTAACTCTGTTAGACATCAGGCGTCCCCATCCTCCATCAGCAACCAACCAACTTACTGAGTTTCCAGAACAGGCAGTATCTCGTAAGCGTTATCTGATCAAACAGCCAGCAAAATATGCAAGATAATGTAGAAACTGGAGGAACTGGGAACAATTTTGTGCAGTGTGGAATAGATTCCACTTAGTTAAGGAAAATATAGAAAAACAGTTAACTTCCAAAGCAAGCTAGTACTTAGGCATCTCATGAACCCCTACAGCCCCTCCTTCTCTCTCTCTTTTTTTCTCCCTGTAGTTTTAGTAGAGATCAGCATTGTGTATGTACTGTATATATTAAGATATTTGTATGTATTATGGACAACGAATTATTATGAACTATGTAAGCATGTATTATGAAACAGGACCAGTGTATGCCCTTGTGGGGCCCATAAGGTGTTGCCCCAGATAGTTGTGGTGTCTGGACTAGACCCAAAGAGTCTGTAAGCTGCACTGGTGTTCAGACTCTGCTCTCAATTGTCAATTGTCAACCTACTGAGCTGACACTGTTCTTGCTCACTTATTATTCATCGCTCTCTCTCTCTCTATTAGCCGAGTTCCATCTCTTTCTGGCCACTCATTCTTATTGTTGCATTTTCAATGTCGGGTAGTGTATAAATTAGAAACATCACAATATATTGCATGTCAGATTTAGCTTTCATTAATGTAAAATTATGAATAGTTCTTTTATAATTTTTATTCTTTTTTCTGTATGCCTGTAATTTTTGTAAGTGAATGAATTTACTTTTATTCAGAAATATAACCAAGACTAAGAAAAGGCATCTGTAGTTATAATTTTTCTGTAATAAACAAATAAGCATAATCATAGGTATAACTATTTTAATAAAAGTAACTATTTTCCATGAATTTTAAAATTTTTCTAAAAAATATCACATTTCTAGATTTGCTATTGTTTTAATAATTTAAAATGTATTTGAATATTAACATAGCTCACAGAAAAATATTAAGCAGTATAAATGCTGACTATGATTTCAACTTATCTATTCAGTAATGTGCATGTTCCATGTTTTCTGATGAAACATGAATTCTGTCATGCCTTTCTAGGTTTTGATGTCCTTAACCTTTTGGAAAATTTTATATTTTATTGTATTATAAAGTCATTTGCTTTCTGAAAATAGCAGTTTTTTTTTAAGTGTAAAAAACCAATGGTATCGATGTAGTATGCGTTCTACCACTTTTGCAATCGTATTCTACGATCACCAAACTGTAACCTATTGGAAGAGCTTTGTCCTTTCTGGAGACAGTACTCAAACAACTGAATCATGCAGGTTGATTTTGAAGCTAAAGATTCTATACAACATTCAGAGTACCATACCTCAAATACTTCTACGTTATCTTGGAGGTCTAATACTATTTATAGAAAATTGATTTTAATAATTTCTGAAATTTAATTTGCTGAGTATAATTGTGCCATTTAGCAAAATCAAACAGAAATATTTAAATCTTTTGTTTATTAGTCCAAAGGGATTTGAATCCCGAAGGACTATTAGTTTCGTTTTGGCACTTTGCGTCGGACTCATAAATGTCGGTTCACTTTTCAAACTGTTGCCACAAAATGTTAGAGTCCTGCATTATATTTGAAGAAATTAAATAATGAAAAATCTGCATTAAATGTATGTATATTTCTAGTATTGTGATAAAACAACGGTACATAGAGTCATCGAATTTTGAATAACGTAATCCTCCAACGAATATGAGCATGTGGAAGACCAAATTTTGAAAATTTGTTTTATGATCGATTTCCTATTTTTTAAAACTTTGACGAATTTTTGATTAACAAACTCAAGGATTTCAAAGCGAGCAATGGCAACGTTGTGCAGAAAAAACATTTTTTATCTCCAGCGCGTGAGTCTCTGTATCGGAAATTCTAAAGTGTGCTCGTTTTAAAACTATTTTGCGATATTGCTGTTGCACACTGGATCTTATGGTTTAAGTGCGAGGAACCATGATATTTAATAAAGAAAGGTAACACACAAAATGTTAAAAACGCCCCTTTGGACGTAATTTAAAATCTGAAACATTTCAGTTTTTTTTTTTTTTTTTTTTAATTTTTTTAAAAAATGTTCTCATGTTAAATCTGTTTCTAGGGTAAATTTGAAGACAGAAAAGAACTGATGCTATTGGTATTTGATGAAAATTCTATCTTTATACCAGCTAGGTGTGTACTTGGTAGAATTTTTTCTTTACTATTTAACAATTATATGTAAAAATGTATTCATGATTTGCTAATATTTATATTTGTTTTTAGTGCAGTGGATGTAGTAAATGAACAACATTATTTATTTTTAAAAGTACTGTGCCAGATGCTTGTTGCGTTAGGAGTCAATTTATGTGGTGTTATGGTAAGTAATAAGAGTTTATATTTTAATATTATTAACAAGGTTATAACTAAATTATATTTTATTTATTTAATTGAAGTGGTTACTTCGTAATTTATGTCAATTGAAAGGATTATTTTGAATAATTACACTGCTGGATATCAGAATTCCTGCTTTATAAAAAGGAAACATTTGACACACATGAAATTTGTATGATATATATAGCATTGTAAGACTAGCAGTGCAGCACATGTGCATAGCATGAGCTCCAGTAACATCACATGGAATTATTGTCAACAGTGGATGGATTTTTCATACAGAAATCATATTTGCTTGTTGTTTATTTGCATAGAAAGTCTAAATATGGCTCTATTTGCATAGAAGGTCTAAATATGCATCATGTAAGAAGATGGTATTCACGTCAGCTCATATCTGAATTTGATTGTTGTTCTTCAGCCAACGCCTGTCTGTGGCAAGTCAGCCATTTGATGCCACACAATCCAGTATAGCCGTACCCATCCTTCCATTTGTCTTCTCGGGTTTCTACCTCCAAAGCATTGCATGTGTGGATATGATCTGCATTTCCTTCTCCTGAGTTATGTAGGAGGGTGTATGGAAGAGCTAGTGATGCTGATTTTAGGGAGATGGCTGTGGAGGTATTCGTGCCCTGTGGTCAGTCTGAAGATGACCACAGTGATGTCTCAGGGCAAATTGTTGGGGATGGATCTTGTTGTTATTGTTTCTCACCTTTTACCAACAGCAGCTGCTCTCCATTGCATTATCCATGTTCCTTTTGACTGTCAGTGTAATTTTGCCGCATATGGTTCTGTGCATTAGGGGTGCATTAGGCATATAACTTTTTTCCTTTGCGAGTCTGTCCTCCTGTTCATTTTCTATGATGTTGCAGTGCCTGTAGACCCATTGTACATGAATATCTGTGGTCTCCTGTAGTTGGAGGAGTCTTTTGGGCACTGGGCTACAAATTACTCTTCAGAGAGTAGTAAGGCCAATACCACTGTTGTTGCTGATAGCTAACCCATCTGTATATTTATGACTCCATGTGAGCCTAGGGTGTTTTCTAGCAATCATTTCTAGTGCAACTGCTTTCAAAACATATGGGCAGACATCTGATTTCATTCATCTATGCCCGATAGAGAGATAAAAAAAATTATTTCAGATGTTTCATGGCTGATTGTAGGTCTTCTAAAGGGCAGGCATTGGCCTGCATCTTGGTTATATTTCTAAATGAGGACCTGAGCCTGAGCTAGCAGTGTATTCTGAGACCTTAATCTTCTGCTTGCAGATACATAGTGTTCCCAGAAATTCTTCAGTGTCCTTCGGCTTCTCTTGAAGTACTTCATCACTGCCTTGTCTTGGTAGCTTTTAAGAGTTCTGTTTGTGCCTCTCCAAATCTCTCGGACATCTTGGATATTATCCTTACAAATACTTCTATCCCTATTTCCTTGGAAGTCAAGGCAGAACTTACATCTGATCATGTACCTGTCATTGCTTCTCTTGGTGTTTCTAAAGAAGACCCTCCTATTACCAGAAATAATACTGATTGGATTACTTTTCACAATATCTTAATCAAACATCCTCCTATTTTCACTTCACTTTCTACCAAACAGGATATCGATCTTGCCATTCAAATCTTCACTGACAGTATACTGAAAGCTTTCAGAGATGCTACAGTTACCATTCAATTAACTAACAATAATATTCGACTTCCTCGCAGTATCAGAGACATTATCAAAGAAAGAAACCCATTGCTGAAGCTTTGGCACCGTAACTGGGACCCTGCCCTTAAAAGAGAAATCAATATTTTTAATAGAAGAATCAAGAAACTTATCACTGATTTTAAAAAGGAAACAAGAGAAGATTTTATATCTAAACTTAATATTAATGATGGTTTTCTTTGGAAGTATCTTCAAAATCTTAAAAGAAGTAGTATTAATAATAGACCTATTCATACGGATACAAAAATTGCCTACTCACTTAAAGATAAAGTCGATATTTTCGCTGAATACCTGGAAAAGCAGTTTACTCCTAATATGGAGCCTATGAATCAGACCTTTAAAGATGTTCTCGAAAACTATGTGTATTCCTGGCTTCATTCTTCTTCGGCTCATAACATCCCAAGGCTTACTTCTCCTATGGAAATTACTAATATTATTAAATATCTCAACATCAAAAAAGCTCCTGGAAGTGATCAAATTACAAATAAAATGCTTCGTAACTTACCTAGAAAACTTATCAGTAAATTCGCTAGTATTCTCAACGCTTGTCTTGCTCTCAACTATTTCCCTGATCCTTGGAAGCAAGCCAAGATCTTTCTTCTTCCCAAACCGGGTAAAGATGTGACCAAGCCTGATGGCTATCGTCCTATCAGTTTGTTATCCAGCCTTGGTAAAATTTATGAAAGACTTATTCTCACTAGATTGGAACCTTTTCTTCACCTGCTACCTAATGATCAGTACGGATTCAGAAAAAACCTCAGTACTACTCGACAACTAGTAAGAATTGTAGAATTTGTGGGATCTGCATTCCATAACAAGCAAAGTGTTGCGCTCCTTATGCTGGACGTGGCAAAAGCCTTTGACCGCGTCTGGCATGAGGGGCTCGTCTTCAAGCTTATCAACTTGGGACTTCCTAGAGAGCTCATTCTTCTGATCTTCTCCTTTTTGCAAAACCGCACTTTCTTCGTCGCTCAAGGAAATGAAAAATCCAATTCAAGACCTATAAGATCCAGCGTCCCACAAGGAAGTATTCTCGGTCCAGTACTATATCTTTTCTACATATCAGATTTTCCTCACCCTGGTTTGGACAATTACTCTCTGTTAGCATGTTATGCCGACGATACGGCGATTGCAATTAAATCCATTCAAGCTAATCATGCAATAGACAAAATGCAAAATTACCTCTATGCCGTAGAAGACTGGTGCACAAATTGGCGAGTAAAAATCAATGCTAGCAAGTCACAACTTTTAATTCTTAGCAAAACTAAGAAAACATTGCTTTTAAAGACCTCTACCTTTTTCAGGAAGCTGTTCCTCTGGTCACAAAGGCCAAATACTTAGGAATTATTTTGAACCAAAGGCTCACATGGTCTAATCACATTAATAGTGTCAAGAGCAAAGCCATGGGCATAATATGCAGATTTCTCTCCCGGTCATTGGAAAATATTCAAATCTTAGCTTGCGTACCAAAAAACATATATATACCACTTGCATTCGACCGATACTTTGTTATGCTGCTCCTGCTTGGAACACGGTCACTCAAACTCAACTGCATCAATTACAAGTAGTGCAAAACAAATTTCTGCGCATTATTACTGATTCTCACTATCTTATCCGCAATAAACTTTTACACAGAGACTTAAAACTTGAGACGATTCCAGATTACATCAGAAGATCTAATGAAAAATTCTTCAACAAAGCTGTGCAATGTGACTTTGTTAATTACTCCCAAGTTTTTAATTATGAAATTCTCTTCGAAGATAGAAGCGTCAGACCACTTGCAGCTCACACACCTTCATGGGAGGAGACGACAACTTTTTCACTTAGATCCTCAATTGTTAGCTATTTTACACTTCCAATGCATCTGATTTTGATTGAAGTTCTTCTGTTGCTTCGTTGAATAATTGTATTTAAATTGTGTTGTATAGTTGTTTTGTATTGTGTTGTATTTAGCACTACTGATTGATGTTGTTTAATTATATTTGAATTTGTCATTGGAACTATTGCTGTAGTGTATCTTCTCGTATTGTTGTCATTGATTTCCATTGTCTTGGGTCCTCCTTGAAAGCTATGATCGCTCGTCACCTTTTGCGAACTTGTCCGATTGGATTGTCTTGCTCCTTTTGGTACTTCTCTTCTTACCCTTATCTCCGTTTTCTCATCTGAGATTTTCTCCACGTCCGGATTTATTTATGTCAAGTGCCCTTGGGCTTTAATTTTGGAACCGGCAACACTGCTCTTCGCAATAGCTCGGTCAATTATAGAGTCTAAGTCTAAGTCTGATATTCAAGGGAAGGAATTGGAGTGGATTTTGAAGTATTGTAGATTATTCATACTGAACTTGATTGTGGATTATTGTAGTGTGAAAATGCTGCTCACATTGATGGAAATCTGGTTACTGTCATAAGAATATAAGAAAGATAGGTCGACAAACTACAGCATGAGCCCCAGTAGCATCACCTAGAATTACTGTCAATAACGAATGGGTTTTCATACAGGAATCATGATTGCTTGCTGTTTATTTGCATAGAAAGTCAAAGTATGCCTCATGTAAAGATATGGAAGTTGCATCTGCTCATATCTGAATGTAACTGTGGAAGAACTGTAAATTACATTATTGTGTATTATTGTAATATGAAAATACTGTTCACATTGTTGGAAATCTGACTACTGCCATATGAATATGAGGAAAAATGGTTCTAGAACAAACAGAATGATATTCTGGATAATAATAATCTCAGCATATGGGATCTGAAAGGATTTTTTATTAATTATTTTATGGATTATACAGGCACTTCACTTATCCTAGCTACTGGTTACAATAGTGCATTAGGCAGTGTTTATAGACTCATGCATGACATAGCATTGTCTTTTAAGATGAATTGCATTTTCGCATGTGTTGTCATGATGGCCATTTGAAATTACATCATGGAGGTTGATTTTTAAATTTTTGCATTCTGTATTATCCTGCTCTAGCATGTAATGTTATAATATGAGATGCCATTGGGTATGAGTCTCATTCATGGCTATGTGTACTCTGCAGCATCGTGAACTGTTTGGAAACAGGTCATTGCTTTGTGTACTTTTAATACAGATAGCTTTAGTGGTGCATTGACCAGTATGCAGAGACTCGTGAATGAATTTTTATCTTTTCAGACAAATTTACATGCAGCATAATGATAGCTGCATCTGTTTTGGATGGCACTGTGGAGATCAGTTGTTAGTTTTACATACTGCATTGTACTAGACTAGCAGTTGTAATTATGATGCGATCTTCCATTAGCTGTGAATCTTAATTATGTCTGATATCTATATCTGGTACTCTAACTAGAATTACATTACAAACTTATTGTGGGCCCATCTTGTCAAAGCCTTCGTGGAACTGAGTGCAAAAAGGCATAAATGTGTGCAAAAAGGCACAAATGTGTGCAAAAAGGCACAAATGTGTGCATAAAGGCATTTATGCCTGTGAAAAGGCATATATGCCTGTGAAAAGGCATCTGTAACAAATACAAAACCTCATGTTATATATAACATTTGACGTTTTCTTGTAAACAACATGTTCTACTTCTTTTTAGTTAGTATGTTCATCATATCTTCCTCTAACTGAATATATCTTGGCCATAGTTTCATAAGATTGGAATGACTACAAACACCAAGCTACGGTAGATATCTTGGCAAAAAATCAAATCTGCATGGACTGCAATATCTCAATTGCATTTAGTGGTAAGTGACTGTCAAAAAGATGTTCAGTTCCTGACAGTGGAACAGACTAGTAGTATGAAGAAAATTTCTGTGAGTTTCTTCTCTTGTTATATTAATAGCAGATTTAAGGTACAAGTAAGGTAAAGTTTGTTCGCCCCCCAAAGAGAAATTTCTAAAAGACTAGACCACCTTCTTGACTGGTTTCATTGCCTGCAGTCAAAAATTCAGTAAAAATTATTATTAAATATATCAACATTGCATCATCGCATGGTTCCTCAAAAGTTTTTTGTCGTATTCTCTTGAGTTAATTGGTCCAAGAATCAGAATTTCAGAATTCTGAAAATATTATTAGGAGGGTGGTGGAAGGCAAGCTTTTGAATCATATTTAGTAATATGAAAGAGAATTCATGGACAAAGGATTTATTTATAGATCAGAAATTTTCTGCTAGCATAAATGTGCTTTTACAAGACAATTTGCATGGTCAAATTAACGTTTATATTGTGTGATGCTCTTACGGTGCATAGTGAAATAGTAAAACTTCTCTCTACAGCTACAACTTTACGATGATTTTACTACCTTTTATCCCCCCCCCATATCTCAAAGTAAGTAGTATTTCTAAGGACTATGGTTACCTTAAAGTGGTGGTCTCAAACTCACATTTCAGGTAGGACAAATGCTTAATCTGAAAACAATTGATTATCTAAATTTTTTAAAAGCAAAATAAAAAATATTTTTAACTAAATTTTCAATACTAAATATTTATCGAAGCATACATAATTTATAATATCACAAAGAAAAAATTCAAATTAATATTTTTTTTCTGTTTAAAATCTAAAGTCTGGTATCTGTGGGATATTTCTATTGGTTACAATTTGTAATTCAAATATTTTGGCATCCAAATATTTAGTTCTTAAAGAACATTTCTTTCAAATAATTATAGAATGTGTAATTAATTGTTAAATAACTTACTTTAATTTAAACTAAAAATAAACATGTTATTAAAACTTTCATAGAGTTCAGAAGAGTTTCTGTAGCTTTCCGAGAAAATTTATCAAGTGAAAAGAAACTTAATAAAAGTTTAGCCATTTTCTCTCATTTAATTAAATCTTTCTTTGAAGTATGAATAAAAATGCATGTATTCATATGTAAATAATTATAGACTTTATTTTTGTTTACTTGATAGTGTTTTGATTTAAGTTTATAGCCTTGAAGAAAAATTATTATAAATGATCTTCATCACTAATTGTAGCAGCTCATTTATCAATCGGTCTCTTTTCTCGTTAATTTTTAACTGCGAGGGGGGATTGTTCATGTGCAAATGTATTATCAAGCAAAGCAATTATTTTATTGCAAAAATATCATAACTGAGTTTATATTTAGTAAATAGGAATAAAATTTAATGAAATCTGTATCTCCAAATCTTCAAAAAAGATTTATATCACATTGTAAATTAATTAGCTCCATTTATAGATTTTTTGGTTTATTATTCATGTTTGTTTTAATGGAAATGAAAATAACATATACGTCAAACAAGTGAAATTTTAAAATCCTTACAGCAAATACATAACACAAATGTCTTTGTGGACTGCATAAAATTGTTTTGGGGACCACAGGCAGCCTGTAGGCTGCCTGTTTGAGATCACTGCCTTAGAGAACATATGCTTTAAGCTGGCTGCCATTACAGAGGACAAAGATGTACAGAGGATGATTAGTGAGGTTAAACTATATGCTTTAATATCCACAATATAGTCTAGCTACCATCTGTGAGAATATAAAATACATGCCTTTAAAAGTTGAAGTGAATATTTAAAGTTGCTGTTCACATTTAGGTTAACCAAAATTATTGAAACCAAAATAATATTTAGAACTATATTTAAGTATTTCAATATCTATTGTAAAAATGTATATTTAAATGCTAAAATCTAAATTTGTATTTTAGACATTCATATAAAAATTATATTGCAGGCTCAATTTCCAAATTTAGAAGTACCTAAAACTTTCTCTAAATATCTGAATTCTATTCTGCTTTTCTCCAAGCATCCAAGCATGGTATGTAAATCATTTCTTTGTTCCTTCCTCCCCCCCCCAAAAAAAAACATTTTCTCTTTGATAGTGTGTATAGTTCAGTTCTGTATAAGTTATTCAATACCTATCATTATTAATTTAGAAGTCAAACAACAAAAATCAGTGTTATATTTTCATTTTTTTTTTCAAATTTTTTGTTGTTTGACTTCTAAATTAATATTTGTTCAGCGTGTTATTGTATCTTAACCTATCATTAGTTTATATAGGATATATATATATGTGTGTGTGTGTGTGTTTGTGAAAAATGTGGTTTATTTTATTAGCCTCATTTTTAAATATTGAATAGATTAATTGAAATAAGGGCTAGATGAAGAATCAGTAAAGCAAGGATACCAGTAAATATAAATAATGTGATAAAGTTTCATACTCAAATATTTTTATTTTTGTAATTTTTACAGAGTTTCTGAACGAAAAGAAAAATTGACTTGCTTAAGCTTCAAAACAATTCTATTGGATACAGTCATTTCAAGAAGAATAAATATATACCATATTTCCTTATGGATTCCCTCCCTTTTTTAACTAATTTTGTCTTCTAAAAATCTAGAGGGAAAAATTATATAATTTAATTTCCTAAGAATGTGGTTACAATAAGAATATAATAAATAAAAAGTAGTCATAGATAAACTATTAATAACTATCACAATATTATTTCTTCCAAAGAAAACTGCATTCTAATAAAAGTACATAATAATATTAACATTGCAATATATGTTTAATATTGATTAATATCTTAATATCTGATGGCAGTTGAGCTAGTGCAGCGTGTCCAGCTCAGTTACCTTGTAAAGTTCCAGAAGCACCTCACATGAATGAGTCTTGGCGCCGGTTCCCAAGAGAAAATTAGAGGAACCTAAGGAGAAGGGGGAAACAAAAGACCGGAATTTTGAAGAATCAAACGCATCGGCAATAGATAACTCCACAATAATATGAAATGTAATAATAGAAGTAATGTGAAATCACATGTTTAGAATGATTCTTAACACATTATCGACCGATCGCCTATTAATCGGCTTTTTATCGCCAGTGCCTACCGACCGATAGTCTATTAATCGGCTTTTTTTCAGCAATGCCTACTGAACGATAGCCTATTAACTAGCCAACGCCTACCCACGAATAGCCTATTAATTGCTTTTTCCTCGAGGCTGTCTAAAAATAGCCTATTGGTAGCCATGACGATAAACAATTGCCATTTGCTATATCATCTGCATTTTATAATTAGTATTGAGGTACATTGCTCACTTGTGTTAAGTGCATTGCTTCGGAAACTTCCACATTTTCACACCATTTTTTAAAAATTTTCCGTTTACGACGAGCGAAAAAAATGGTACTAGAAACTTTTATTTAGACGATTTATCAGATTGTCTTGACAATTATTCAGAACAGGGAGGATCTGCGGCTGGTCTGATGTGCGTATGCTGTTGAATCGCTAGCAGTCGGTAAAGTGTTAAGTGTAAGAGCAGCTGTTGCTGCTCTCACACCGTCCAGGTGTCTGGGTAACTGAATGCTACTCAGACACCTGGACAAAATACACTTCAAATACTAAATACCATGGAAAATAAAATGAACGAAATGGTATTGTGGAAATGCAAATGCAAACTAAATACCCGGAATAAAAGTAATCAAAGGAGTATGATTTAAGAATAAATCAGCTGTCGGAGAGGAACTATGTACAATAAAAAAAAAGAGGAAAGTAACTTAAAAAAAAAAAAAAAAAAAAGGAAAACTTGGGAGTGCATGAAGAAACATGGTAACTTCAGTATCACAAATGTTCCTGCCAAAAGTACCCTTCAGAAAGAAACATATTCTATGTTTAAGATATTTGCTGAAATCAGGAATAACAAGTGCAAAAGAACCTAAACTTGCATTATAATATCTGTCTCCTTTTTACCATATAAACTAATTCTAGATCCTACAAATGAACCTGGCGAATTCTCACACAAGCGTGAAGTAAATACCAGCACAGAAGAAGGGGGAAAATAACTCTTTATTAATTCAAACTAAGAACAGAAGTCGCGATCTTTGTGCTTTACAATAATAGTGACAACTTGCTGTGGAAGTTAAACGTATAACATAATATCAATTCAAGTGTAAATGGAATAGTGCTAGTTTAGTACGTTATGCCTAGCTTAGGTTGACTCTACAAAGCATAACAGGCATAACAATTATGTGAAATGGCCAAGAGGCATATTACCGTAACAGCAAGATCAGCAACGAAACTTGCACCAGCTAGTGAAACCACGCTCTAAGTAAACTTCAGTATTCACCCGTTTAAATACTCACTTCACTTAACTTTAAATTTACATCCTGGCAAGGAAATGCGAAGAGAAGTTGAGGAGTTCAGGAAAGATGACAAAAGTTTGAATAATATGTGAATTTTAACTAAAGGAAACCCTATAACATGGTCAAAGTAGATGCACTGGAATCAGTGAGATGAATGAAATAACTAGCATTTTCATTGTGTTTTTGATGTACCATACTTATTTTGTATCAATCACTTTGATAGATCCACTATTTAAATCTTCAAACCACATTGAGTTCTTATGTAAATTAACCCAGAAAGTTGATTTATTTCCTTGGGATTTCCTTATTTCTTGGCCCAAAGTTTTCTGGTATAATAGGTACATGCAGGGTTCTGAGCAGAAGTGAATTAGGTTAAATTTTTTTCACTTCATGAGGTTTTTCTTGATAAACATTCGTAAAAGTCATATCTTTTGTGCTATAGTAAATCAAGACTTTAGTTGATTTTAATGCCACAAGACAGCAGCATGTATCAAGCCATTAGACTCTGTTTTCCATTCATTTTGGAGCACAAGTGAGCCATGTCAATCTCCCGGACAGTAGCATAATATTAGTGCTCTAAACCTGAGTGCCTTCCACGAATTCCCATTGTTGTTTGGTGATTTAGTTCATTACTAAATAAAATAATCATCACATAATTATTATTGCCTTTATTTGATTTGATTGATTGATTTGTGTTTGTAAGCATGTTGAGAGCAGTATACAAGTTTCTGAACCAAACAGAATCTCACCAAACATAAAAAGAAATGCTCTTCTTAGCCAATTACAATCCCCCTCACCTCATTCTAAGTGTGACATCAAAGTGCAAGCGAAAGGTACTATGAATCACCTGACTTAGGTATAAAGGTAATCATGACTTAGGTAATCATGCTCTGTCTAACTTTCTTGCTCCAATAGTTTAAATACTTCAATTCACCGTAACTCATTTGCATACTGACGAGGAAATGTGAGAAGAATAAGAGAATTCAGAAAAAGTTCACAAAATAAAATAACTATTAGTAAAAATAAATAAAACTATAGAATGTTTCTTCATTTCTTGGATAGATTTCCCAATGATATGTAAGTGGACACACTCTACTTGCACATCCCATGTAAATATTTTCTTCATCAGAATGATGAATTAAACAACCATTTATCTAACATTTTGTTTCTTGATCTGTTTAAATATTTTAGAACTGAGACATCCTGTGATCAAAGGACATGCATAGACCTCTGTTGGTACAAATACCCTACATGATAGCCCTCAACAAGTAAGGAAAAGGAATGTGGAAAAGAAATTATACAAAAAATTTATAAAACAAAAGGACTGGAGGGCAAAAAATGCCATGGCAAAATTATTCCTTCCAAAAAATTTTCTGGTATTTTTTGTAATTGTAGAATTTGTTACAGCTATAAAGTATGTCATGGTAACCATAAAAAAAAAATACCGAGTCATTCTGGAAATTGGGGGATTTTTCACGTCAAAAAGATTTTTTTTTGTAGGTCTTGTACAGGCACATACAGTAGCAAGAGTTTGCTCTAAAGACGGTAGTAGATCAACAAAGCAAGTCCTTATACAAGTACTTTTCACACTCTGATAATTAATCTGTCCAAGTTTTCAAGACGTTTTTCTTACAAACATTTAAAATAAGTTGGGGTAGATTGTACAGATGTTTGTCAAAAGAAGAAGTATTTGCCATTACTGACAGTCAAGGAAAAAAGTTCCTTCTAATAAAAATCAATGATCAAGATGTGATTGATCCTATTAAGTCCTTCCCAGTTGTTCAAAGTAATTATACTCAGAGAGAAGATAATCCCAACAAAAAATATCTACACCCTGAGAATTCACAAAATTTATGAAATTTATGTAAATAAATGCAAGGCCAAGAGCAAAATTCCTTAAAAAAAAAAAAGGTTTCTAATAATGTTCTCATTCAAAATTTTATTTTTATTTTAAACCACCAGCTAAAGATACCTGTCAGATTTGTGATGAACTTGAAATAAAAATTAACTGTGAGTAAAATGAAAATAATAATAAAGATTTTACAGACTGAAAAACAAATTCATTTGACAACAGTAGGCCAAGCTAGGCATTCCTTTCCTTAGGTAAAATCAGTTGCTCACGTTTACCATACTTATACTTCAGCTTTTGGCTTGCAATTGTATTGCTATTCCTGAAATTGACCATATTAACTGCATACTACAAGAGAAATTCACATAAACATAAACAAATAACTTGTTTATGTTTATGTGAGATAAAACTGGGAGGTAGAGGGTCCCAAGATTTTGTTGTCATACTTGGTGAAACACTAATAGGCATATCAGCAACTCATAAACGTATCATTTTGTATTCTGATTCATGCACTGGCCAGAATTGCAGTATCAAAATGGCATTGACTTTTGTGCACAATTATGTGGCTGTGAAAACTATTGACCATAAATTTTTAATAAAGCCACTCTTACCTGTCAGGCGATGGGGATTTTGGAAAAATTGAAAAGTGCAGCAGAAAACAACGGTTTATATACTCACCTGAAGATTGGATCAAAATAGTGAGAAAATATGAATGTAATTGCATTTGAATTAATGGTCATGTAAAAAGAATTTTTGAGTACAAAATTTCATGAAAACTGTGTAATTAAAAAAAAAAGCAATTAAAAAAAACTGTATATGGAAAGTATGTTAACTGGTTGAATTTTCAATGCATCAAATATGAGGGAGGGTCATCAATGTCTTTGAAGTTCAAAACTTCTGTGGATGATTTGGTCACCTTTCAAACCATTCCATTGGAGAAAAAATTACTAAGAAGACGTGTGATCAGTTTAAATAATATTGTGCAGGAACCTGTCTATCCTAGTCGACAAGATAATACACTGAGTTAAAAAAAAGACATGATTGATTTATTGTCTTTTGTTCCAATCATCTTTCACCAGTTGCCTGCTCAGTCACCATCTAGGTCGTCAGCAAGAGCAAAGTGGTGCAATTGGTAAGCAGTAAACAGATAAACTATTTTATGTTGATGAATCAAGATATTGCAAGTGTTCTCTGAAGTTTTACATATTTTTCCTTAAAATTCCATTACATTATTTTTCAAAAATATCTTGTATAAGAATTTGAATTTTTCATAGAATTTTTCAGTCATCTCATTTGTTTAATAAAACCGTGTTTACAATAGTAACTGTTTTTTTGTATTTCTTTAAGATTTAATTCTCTGTAAATTTTGGATTTTGTTCTTTTGTGTTCTGACTGTTTTCTGAACTGTAGTGAACCAAGTCCCTGTGTCATCATTTTTTGCATAAAACAGCATGTAGAGCCAGTGTTTAGAAATCAGATATGATGGACTTTGTTCGCTTCTGCTGTGAACCCTCCATATATATTATAAAGTACAGATATTATTGAGTATATACACATGTATTGTAAAGTACAAATATTATCTTTTGAGTTCCCCAGATGGTATAGTGCAGCCTACTGCAATACCAAAGGGTCTGTGTTCGATTCCTGGAGAAAGCATGGATGTAAATTGTCTGTCCCTTCATAGGAGGTAACGGTGGTTGCCTGTTAGGTGCCTCCATAATAAAATGACTGACCACTGCTTCCGGCCTTTGCAGTGGTGAAAACCTAAAAACCTAAAATAGCTAGTGCTCCCCATTTAAAAAAAAAAAAAAAAAAAAAAAACTCTTTTTAATGTATCTTATACAAAAGTATTCATTTAGGAAAATTTGGGTACTTTTTTGATTATTCACCCAGCTCTTCCAAAAAGTTGCCAGTCATTGATGACTAATTTTTGCCAATCTAAGGTGTGGAAGGCAAGAACCATTTTCAAAAGTGGTGGTACACTAAGAATTAATTAAAACAGCAACCGATTAACAAAATTAAAAATGCAAGAAATTTTCGTAATAAAACATTTTCTTTTTTTCCTTATGCTTCACATTATGTACTGAGAGATCTGTTTTACTTTCAACAAATGCAAAAAATTGCAGAATTGTGGCTTTGGCACTGTACACCCCCTTTAACCTAGCCTTTATTTTCACAATCGTTGGTCATAGTTATATACTTCCAATTACAAAAATGTTTTAAGTAATGAAAATATTCATGTTTTGGCAATGTTAAATTTAAAAAAAAATTCATTTTGGACAAATTATTAAATACAACTTGATGTAATCGCCCAGTTTTTTTTACATATATTTCAGAGAGTTTTATACTTCTGAAAAAATAAAATTATAAGAAGTTTTACTTGTGTATAACAAAAATTGACTGTTATATTTAATTTTAAAATTTGCAGTTTTTTATGTATTTTCATCTTGCCTTAAAGGATTGTGTATAATTTAATAGTCCATGCATGAAAGTCATGTAGTGTTCACATTTTTTTTTTTTTTTTTTTTTTACTAAATTTATCATCTGAAAATTGAGAGAGGAAAACTATGTGAATCATTTGATTTCTAAGTTTGATTAACAAAGGAAAAGTAGTTGTGGATAAACTACAAGTGTTTATCACTGCATTATTCCTTTGAAAGAAATCTACATTCCAATAAGAATGCATTTATTAATATTACAGTATCTAATAAGATATTTTCATTTCTGATTTTCTTTAACTTGAATCTTGCAAGTTCTTATTATAGGCTGTGCTATTCCCCAGGCCTCAAGTCATTCATAAATAATTTGGTAAGGTGCACCTTACTCGGTGAAGTCATAAACTGAATGTCGATTCGTGTTTGCGTCACTTTGATAGGTCGATTCTTTTATTTGGCTAGCATAAATTTCAATATTTAGAGAGGACACGTCCAGCATTACCTTCACAGGTGATTTGTGATTGTCTGTCTTTGTTAGCAACAGTTACTATGTGGATGTGTTCATTGTAAAATTTAGGATTAGCTCATTCTCTGAATGCAGTGAGAAATAAATTTAAAAAAAAAAAAAAAATATGATATGTGAATATTTTTAAAATTTCAGAATTTGGGGCTTAAGGAAAGAGGGAAAGGTAACAGAGGAAGGGAAGAAATACGGTAATATTTACTTCTGAAAACAGTTATAAGAAATGAGAATACATTTAATTTAACAATTGCCATTTTAACATCATTGGCACATGTACATCTTTCTGTAGAAAATTGTTAGTGTAAGTGTTCTGCAGCAGTAAAAAAAAACTTTTTATTTTCTAGTGATTGAAATTGTTACAATTTGAGCTTATTTTTAAATGAATTAATATGAGTAACCTTTTCAGTATCCACTAATCGGATGTTCTGAGTATTGTCAAAAATTGTACTTGAAATATGAAGTATTATTTTACAGGTTCTGAGTCACCAAACACAGAATTTATGGATGGCCATTTTTCGGAGCCCTAGCATTTCACAAAGTCCAACTCTTCATGAAATCATCCCAAATCTTCTGCTATGTGAAGCAGAAAAGTTATTAAAGGTAAGGGTGAAAAGTTGGATTTACATAAAAAATTTTATGTGAAGCTATGAAATATTTGCTGAGTTTTCTTTGTTAAGGTTTTGTTTTTGTAATTTTTGCCCAGCTGAAACAAAGTATACTGTACCTTTGTCTGTAACTTGAATGTGTAAAAGCATCTGTTTTCTGCATCTCTGTCAAACAATTATAAACATAATTTTCCCTCATTTGCATATTTCATTAACCTTAGATGCTTGTATTTTATTACAGTATGTCCTAAATATTTCCATTATTTGTTGTAGTGTGTATTTGTGTGTGTGTGTGTATATATATATATATAATACAAATTATGATAAAAATTTTGGAACAAATTGTTGTATAGTAAAATGGTTGCACTTCACTTTAATTAAACTGTAATGATAGTTGCTTCATAACATACCATATTTGCCAGCATATAAACCAAATTTTTTCTTTGAAAATAGGTCTGAAAAATGTGGTGCATCTTATACATCGATACTCAGTATTTGATAACATTCATTTCTGGAAATTTCCTCTATTCAGAGTTATGCAATTTCTTGTTTCCTTGCGGAGTGTGGGAATGTTACAGTTACGTAGAGTTCAGTGAATGTGCATGCTCTGTTATCGATGATCATAGCTTGGTTTGTTTAAAATTTCCAATTTTTGTGAATGACTTACAAATGTGTGAAATTTCTACTGTTCACTTTTCTTAAATTTATTGGCAAGTTATGGCTCAAAAACAACGTAGGCATTGCTATAACATAGCACAGAATCTACGTGTCATTGCATATGCTAAAGAATATGGAAACAGGACTGCAGACTGCAGATTGCAGAGAGGCATTTCGGACCATCCCCAACTGAGAAAATGATAAGAACTTGGTGGAATCAGGAAGAGGATCTAAAAAAAAAGCAACTGTAAATTCATTATAATAATCAGTAATAAAGTGCTATACTTAAAAAATGTGTATAAAAAGGGGGTGCGTCTTATAGGCCGGTGCGTCATGTACGCCGTCAAATACGGTAATTGGATAGTTATTTTATCAGGGCATTCATGTATGGAATAGATTTGCATATTTTTGACATTATGCATCATACAGCACAGTAAGTAGCCCTGGGTATTCTGAAAGTGAGAACTTAATTTTGTTGATCATATATGAAAGCAGTGAGTATGTAGGCAATTCCTGATGTATGGAATTAAATTCATATTTCAGTCTGGAACATTTACTGTAAGTTGAACTAGGTTTAGTTCATTGAAATGCTGGGTTCATGTCATGCATTGTTATACAAAATTTCAGTGAAACTGCATTAAAATTTGTAAATCAAAGATCTCATCTACTAAACACGAGCTGTCACTTGGTAGAATTTAAGGATTATAAGTGTGTCAGTTATTCAATAAATGGCTGAAAGAATTAATTACAATAGTGAAAAATTACCAGGTAAATATATATTTACGAGTATCCCTTGGCGATATTTGGCGGTACATGGGTACTGATTTTGTGAAATTCCTTGACTTGTCATTTTGGCTTTGTGTAGCGGCAATTTTAGTGCCACAACTTGCCACTACACAAAGGCAAAATAACAAGTCAAAGAATTGCACAAACTTGGTATCCATGTACACATTAACCTATTTTCACTTAAAAAAAATCACAGAATTGCACAAACTAGGCATCGCGCACTCCTTTGACTTTATCCATGTACACATCGACCTATTTTCACTTAAAAAAACATCAGAGAATTGCATAAACTTGGCATTGTGCACTCCCTTGACTTTGTCCAGCCAAAATATTATGATCAGCCCTACATTTTGCGATGAACGCGCCTAGATGACGTGGAAGGCACGTGATCTGGTGGAAGTGGTATTTATTGATTGTAATGGTGGCCAGATTGTAATGGCTCGAAGGCTCAGAGCAAGTATTTCCAAAACTGCACGACTCGTGGGTTGTTCGCGATCTACAGTTGTTAGTACGTATGAAAAGTGGATGAATGACGGTGAAACCAGCAGTCGATGACATGGTGTTGGACGTCCACACGCTATCAAAGAAAAAAGTTGTCGGAGGCTCTCTCGCATGCTGAAGCAAAACCGGAACCAGGCAGTGGCTCAGCTGACAGCCAAATACAGTGCAGGGCCAAGTAGAAAAGTATCGTAGCACACTGTTCAGTGGACACTGTTGGATATGGGGCTATACAGCAAACGTCCCCACTCGTGTTCCTTTGCTAACCAAGCGTCATCGCCAACTGCACCTGCGCTGGGCCCGGTAACATCGCGACTGGTTCATGGATCAGTGAGAGAGAGTTGCCTGGTCAGATGAATCATGGTTTGTCATTCATCACGCCGATGGCCATGTCAGGATATGCCGTCTTCCAGGCGAACAGTTGCTTCCTAATGCACAGTAGGTCATACACAGGCTGGTGGTGGCGGTATTATGCTTTGGGGGACATTCTCTTGGGCATCTCTGGGACCCGTGGTTGTGGTAGAACAGACCATGAATGCTACAGGGTATCTGAACATCATTGCAGACCAGTTGCAACCTTACATAGCCTCTGTTTTTCCAGCTGGAAATGGAATGTTCCAACAGGACAATGCCCAGTGTCACAAGGCTACAGTTGTGTTGGAGTGGTTCCAGGAACATGATGCTGATTTCCAGTTAATGTCCTGGCCGCCTAACTCACCGGATCTCAATCTGATAGAACACGTTTGGGATGTCATGGGATGGCAGCTCAGAGGTCAAAGACCACCAATTTGCAATATCTCGGATTTGCGTGACCGTTGCTACAACATCTGGTACAATCTGTCTTCGGCCATCTATCAAGGACTTGTAGCATCCATGCCAAGGTGGGTTGAAGCTGTGTTGCGCGCCAGAGGTGGCCCAACTCGTTATTGACAGGTGGTCATAATGTTTTGGCTCTTGAGTGCATTTTCCCTTAAAAAGTCAAAGGAGAACTTAATTCTAGGTAAAAGTATATTTATGGAACATTCAACTACTCAGGTTATCATAAATGAAACAACAACTTGGCGGTAAACGAAACAACAACTTGGCGATAAATGAAACAAGTTTGCGATAATACAAGGGGTACCCTTCAGTCTACTCTAACCAATCACTGTATGTCATTGAGTAAATCAGAATGTTTAACCTTTTCCTATAGGCTTGAACATAAATGTCCCAAGCATTCACTACATTAAATCAGGCTGAAAGAGATTGTTTATTATAGATTTTAAAATTTGTAGTTTAATGGAGAGCAGGAAATAACTGATCCTGTCCACTCCTTTCTGATTGAATAGTTGATTATATATTTTCAATGCATAAAAAATTAGTCTCTAGCCCATGTGAAAAGGTTAATTTGTATATTATTTATGCATATTTGCTATGAATCACGAATGTATTTATAAGATCTAATTTTTTTAGCTATCATGCAAAGTGTCTAGATTTCAAAGTTATGTCTTTGTGAGAAGTCACACAGACATGAAGAGTAACACGACAGAGAAAGGATGTAAAAAGCCCTTTTTTTTAATCACATTTCTTTAACAGAAAGGAACAGACTTTGTGTTTACTCACCAAAAGTAACACAGACTACTTTTGGTGAGAACTTTAGATAATTTAGCAATAAATTCAAAAGCTAAGAAGTAGTGCTGGACTACACAATTTAATTTAATCTAACAAGCTGACTCAGCAACTTACACCAAAAATAGACTAACTTATCAGCCAGAATACATAGCCGCAACTAATATTAACAGCTGCAGGACAAAAGAGCAAACATGTACTTCAATAGCAAAATCACCTCTGGGTAACCTTTTCGTTTTACCCGTTTAATCACCTACTTATTCTTTCATATTACTGTTCTTTCATATTAATTATTACTAAAAAATGTTTTTGTGCTTTTGGCACTTCTAAGTAACCTTTTTTATGAAAGAGTTTCTTTTGAATTAATCAACTTTATTTTATTTATTTATTTATTTTTTTAATAATTTACTGACCTATAAATTGTGAAGGTATAATAAGTTTTTCTTTGAAAAAAGAGTCTGTTCAGAAGATTTTCTCCTTCTTGTTTTTAAAAATCCCTGTCTTTAGTAGTTACAAAAGTTATGATTATGCTTAATAAATGTTACATTCCTTATTAGGTAAATAGGCCCACCAGCAGCCGAGCGGTAAAGTTGCTGAACACTGGTAGTTCGGTCCGAGGTTCTAATCCCGCGAACGGGCTGGCTGCATGGGTGTTTTCATGGTTTTCTCCATGTGTAACGTGTATACGAGCCAGTTTCCCTTAGAAAGTCCTCCACGAAGGCATCCCTCCCCTTAGGCAGATAGCCCTAGTGTGCTTTGCCATAATTAAATACACCACACCTTATTAGGTAAATACGAGTATCATTGATAAATTACTATAACTTATAGGTGTGCTTGATTTCTATCTTAGTAGGAGAATGTTGCAGCAAAAAAAAAAAAAAAAGCTTAAATTAAATCCAAAGATTTTAAATTTACTCAATTTATTAAAAGATTTAAAAATTTACGTCATTGCTTATTCTGCAAGACTATACCGCAAGTCTCACATTTTCCCTTCCATACATTCAAATAAAAAATGAATATCATAAATCCTGATTACTTATTCAGATATTTTAAATCCCTCTCTTTAGTAGTTGTTTTAGCAATCTGCAGCATCAGGTTTTATATTCTTTTTATAGTTATTCATGAGCTCTTTCTGTACAGCACAGCTTTTTCTTACTGTTGAAGGTTTTCTGAATGCTCATTGTTATTTGCATGTCGGTCTCATTTGAGTGACACAAATTAAAACTTATTCAAGTTAAAATTAGTATGATATGTTTTTGTCTGTATCATAATATATACAATGTAATATAATACTACTATACTGTTAATATAATGTAATTCTACTATAGCCCAACTCTCCATTGGAATATGATTTGGAATCTCCTACAGATTGTCTAAAATTTGATACTGAAGAAGATTTTGAAGCCAGTTTTAATAGTAAGGTTCCCCTCTCATTTTCTGGCGGCATTTTATCAAAGTTATAATTTAATGTTTTATAAGATATTAAATATATAATTGATCAGAGCTCTTTTAATATTTTTTCTCGTATCTGTCTGGAATTCTGATCTTTTTAATGCAAATAATAAAATTTTTAAATAGATTTTTACTTTTTTTAAAATACACACTGTGCTCATAGTAGTCTTTATGCAACCCTTATTTTCTCAATTGTTGGTCATAGACATGCATTTCCAGTTACAAAATCATTTTAAGGAATGCAGATATTCATCTTTTGACATTTTAAAATTTCTTTAACAATTAAGAACCCTAAATGTTTTGTACAGTCCTCAAACCCTGTAGTTATATATATATGAAAGTGTATACAAAGTTCGTAATCCGGACTCGTTGGGACTTCGGTAATTCTGGATTATAGATCATTAATTTAAATCTGGTAAGATGGCATGCAGAAATTATACAATTAAAAATATTAAACCGTAATTTATGAAATAAAAAGCAATTATGATCTAAAGGGTATCGAAATTTACAAAAAAAAAAAAAAAAAAAAAAAAACTGAAATGTTTCAGATTTTAAATTACGTTCAAAGGGGCGTTTTTTAACATTTTGTGTGTTACCTTTCTTTATTAAATATCATGTTCCTCGCACTTAAACCATAAGATCCAGTGCAACAGCAATATCGCAAAATAGTTTTAAAATGAGCATATCTTTAGAATTTCCGATACAGAGACTCATGCGCTGGAGATAAAAATGTTTTTTTTCTTTTTCTGCACAACGTTGCCATTGCTCGCTTTGAAATCCTTGAGTTTGTTAATCAAAAAATTCGTCAAAGTTTTAAAAAATAGGAAATCGATCATAAAACAAATTTCAAATTTCAAATTTGGTCTTCCACATGCTCATATTCGTTGGAGGATTACGTTATTCAAAATTCGATGACTCTATGTACCGTTGTTTTATCACAATACGAAATATACATACATTTATGCAGATTTTTTCATTATTTAATTTCTTCAAATATAATGCAGGACTCTAACATTTTGTGGCAACAGTTTGAAAAGTGAACCGACATTTATGAGTCCGACGCAAAATGCCAAAACGAAACTAATAGTCCTTCGGGATTCAAATCCCTTTGGACTAAAAAAAAAAAAAAAAAAAAGAAAAAAAGCTCAATATTTATTTGTTTACTTATACAAAAAAAAAAGTTTGTGGCTTTGAGGTCCGGATAATAGACGTCCGGATTAGAGACATATTACAAAATGTTTCATTCCTGTTTATAAAAGTACATGATTACTTCAAAAAGTTTGATTCCTGAATGTTTAAAATTGACCAAGATATTTAATTTTAAACTCTCATGTCATATTCAAGCATTAAATATGTACTATGGAGTGAAGTTTTTGCAGCTGTATATAGCAAAAATTAAGCATCAGTTTAGAAAAAAATTGTTTATGATGTTTTACAAGTATTGCTGTGCAGATTGCCATGAAAATTCTAGATTAAAAAAAATTTTTTTTTCTCCTTAACTAAAGAGATTTTATTTACCGAATCTTATAGAATTCATATTCTACAAAATAGAAACAGATTTTGGTTTTGGCTTATACCCAACTCATAGCAGTATTTACATTAAAGTGAAAAATATTTCCACTTCAGTGAATGTATAATATGATTATTAGCTAATGTTTTCTAAAGTGGTAATATATGAGAATATTAGTAATGTATTTTTAGCATTTGAAAACTTAAAAACTACTTGTGTAATGCCTTGCATAACAAAATTATTAAAGAATGTTACATACTAGTGAAGTATGTAACATTCTAGTGGATCTTAAAAAAGTACTCGTTACATACTAGTGAATCTTAAAAAACACTAAAGGAGGAAAAATAAACGTTTAATTATTCAATTATATTTGTGTGTTCATACACATACCACGTACATACACTGCACAAAAAAAAAAAGTGGGGCAATTCTATATCTTCCATTCTACTGTTCCGATTGATGAAATTCAAATTGTGATTTTCATGTTTCGAAAGCACGATTTAGGCTATATATTAGATTTATGTATAGCATTGTTTCAATATAGATATTTTGACACAAAATCGGACCTTTTCTGAAATGACATGTCAATTATTTTCCATATTTCGACTCTAATTATGTCTAAATATTAAATTTTGTAAAATTTTGTGCCATATTTACGGAGAAATTCAAAATTGTATCTTGGCGCATTTTTTTAAAGTTTGCACCAAGAATAGTTCATTTGGCAAACTTCCTAATTTATAGTAACCTTTTTTCCTTTCCTTCTTTTTCATCGTAGATGAGCAGAAAAAATAATTTTAACAAAATGCATAAACCGTATTTGGCATCATTGTCGCTTATAACAAATATGCCAAATTTCAAAATGCGTCAATGTGTAAATTCATGTATATTTTAGAAAATTTTGAATAAAAAATTCTAAATTTTTGCGGTGTGCCTAGAAATACATCTACTTTAAGATGATGTTAAAAATGTATAAAAATTATTTAAAAATACAAATTTTAAAATAAATCATAAAAAATGTGCGAATTATATTTGGATTAGGCCTAAATTTTGAATTCTGGAAGAAGGAATCAAGTGAGTTTAATTTTTGAAAAAAGCGATATTAACAAGTATATCAAATCAGGTTGAATTAACATTGAGGAGCTAAAATTTTTAGAGTTAATTTTTTAAAAACTACTTGTGCGATTTTTACAAAACTTAGCAATTTGGTATAATTTGAGGCATAGAGTCGAAATATGGAAAAAAATTAGTGTGTCATTTCAGAAAAGGTCCAATTTTCTGTCAAAATACCTATATTAGAACAGTGCTATATATAAATTTAATGCATATCCTAAGCCATGCTTTTGAGACATGAAAAATGAAAGCTGAATTTCATCAATCAACCCAGTAGAACAGAAGATATAGAACTGTCCCCCCCTTTTTTTTTGGCACAATGTACATATATATATGCATTTCTGAATCCTGTTCTGATAACAGAAGAGTACCCAATTTTTTTGGGGGGGGGGAAGGCAACACCTCAAGATAAGCTGAAAATGGCATCAGAAGTTCCAAATTTTGAAATTAAAAAAATCTAGGTAAATTTTTTTCTCATAGGAATCAAATTTTTTGCTATTTTATTTTTGTATAATGATTATATAAGCAACTTTTACTATAACTAAATGACTGAAAGAACATATAAAAGGTTTTAATTTAGAATTTTTAAATTTATACTTGTAACTGCTTGAAAATTTTTTGCCATTCGTAACATTTTTGTTTACAACCAGCGATTGCAAAAATAAAGGTTGCATAAGGATTTGTGACCATGGTTTATATTAAAGCAGTAAAATTTGTGCCATCTTTTATCATTTAAAAACAAAATGGTGGCAAATTTGGAATATATGAATATTGGTTTGAATTACTATCTTTTTTTATAGCATAAACTTCAGGAACATACTTGACGGTTTGTGCAATTACCTGTTTGTTCCCATTTTTTAAACAGGTCTTTAAATAATAAGATCTGCATCACTGCTAAGTAAGAATAGTGTACATACACTAGTATGCAAAAATTTAGGACAAAGTGGAAAAATTAGCTTATCAGCAGAACGAAGAGGCAGAGCAGGCGGAAAGACCCAATCAAAAGATCGACTAGGGTCAGGTACGGTAGAACATGTGCATATATGTAGCTAGGTGTAATGGATGAGTGTTGGAGGGGTATAAAGATAGCTGACGGTGTGAGCTTAGCATTTCTGGGAAGCTATTGCACTGTGCATATCAGATTAAACGATGACGAGTTGCTACCTCAGTGTGAAATGTTGAACAGTCAGTTTGTTAGATGACATTGGATGGCTTTACTTGATGTTGAATCATTAGAGAGTCTGAGGAAGGCAAAGGGTAAGAGATGTGGCTTCGGATTTCGGGATTGCTCACAGCATCATTTCATGACTTTGGAGAGCATTTCAAAAACTGCAGGAACAACTGTCCGATGGTTCGGTAGTGGTTGTCTATGAGCAACCACAGCAGTGGATAACTGGTATATTGAACTACAGGCAAGAAGGAACAGGTGGCAGACAGCGGAAGAAATCTGAAGACATGTGGAACAAGCGATTGGTTCCTTTTTATCATGGCCAGGAGGCTGCTCATTGATGATCTGTTTACATGTTGACCTGTACAGTGTATAGCGTTAATGCCGGCTCATTGGAGAAGATATTTTATGTGGTGCAATGAACACCAGAATTGGGTAGATAAACAATGGGATCGAGTACTCTTTACGGATGAGAGCAGATTTAGTCTGAGTAGTGATTCTAGATGCATACACGTCTGAAGAGAGTGGGCAGCATAAACCCTTCAACATCATCGAAAGGGACTGTTTTGGAAGTTGAAGAGTTCTTGTTTGGGGAGGCATCACGCTTAGTAGCCATACCAACTTTCTCATCTTCTAAGGAGGTTCAGGTCACTGGGGCCTGCTATTGTAATGAGCTTCTCCTTCGTTATGTGCATCTTTTCAGAGGTGCTATGGGTCCTCAGTTCCTCTTAATAGGCAACAATGCTCCACCTCATCACACAGTTACTGTTGGAGAATGAGGTTATTGAATGTATGGATTTTCTAGAGAGATTCATGGCAGCATGTAACTTGTTGTCAGTAATTATTTCAGAGCTGCTGCAAGAGGAATAGGCAGCAGAGTCTCAATAATTCATTGACAACTTCATACACAGCATGGACAGATGACGTGAAACCTGCACAGCAGTCAGGAGAGATCATATCCCTTACTAAAGGCAGGATGTTTCTTGCTGGACACCTGTCACATGGATGTTTCAGTCTTCAGTCACATTATTTTCCATGCTAATATTTTAACAAAATTCCTTTTTTAGCCTTTTGATTTCTTTTTTGGGAAGTTTTGCTTACATTACCCATGTTCTTACATCTTGGGGATCTTATGGTATTATTTGTGTTGATTTTTGAAAATCTTTTGCTCAACAT